ATTTTAATTTAAAAAATATATAGAATCAAAATAAAAAAGTTTTTACTAAATTTAATCGAATGGTTACTAAGAAATCTACGCTAGAAGTTTAAAAAAATTCAAAATTTTCAAAAGGATTTTCAATTTAATTGATTCTAATTGGTGAATATTTGGGCTCCGGAATCAGATTGGAAAGGATCTACAGTGATCTTCAGCTCGGGATTTTCTTGACATACGAGACACGCCGATAACAGAGATAATTCACGTGCATGCTGTGTCAGTATAATTTCTCTTAATTTGGGTTTCCCACCCAGATCTGCCAGATATCCCAGATATATCAGAACCGCCAGATCTGGAGAATCAAGATTATTTGGGTGAAATGGTGGATCTTAATGATATGGACTATAAGGCTGATGATGATATTTGGGATATGGGAGATTTCTGGGAATGTAAATAATAGAATTACAATTATAAATAAAGGCCTTCTGGCCCTTCGGAAATGACAGACAGTTCCAGTTTTATCTAAATAATAAAGTACCTAAGTCATATAAACATGTCCTACTAACTACATACATTTGTTAATAAACCACTCATCCAATCTAACACGCCTTTTTCGACCCAAAGTAACCTAAGTTTTGGTTACACAAACCTTCTACCGGTTTAGCGACAGACTCACCAATTTCAGGTCTGACACTGGGTCACTTGATAAATCAAAATGTTTCTACCACAAAATTTGAAAGCCACTTTTCTGAAAGAACATAATACCTACTGACTAAATTGGCTAGCATTATAACTAATGCCGGCCAACCTTGTAGGTATTCGATACTTTCAGGAATCTGTTTTTCGGGATCTTGTAGGTTCTACCACAAAAATCCCGAAAACCATTTTCTCGAAAGAACGTAATACTGACTTAATTGGTCAATATTATAACCAATGCTGGCTAATTTTGTCGGTGTTAGGTCCTTTCAGGAATCTGTCTGTCTGGATTTTGTGGTAAAACCATCCAAAAAAAGGTATATACATATTGTCTTTTAAGTTAACTGGAAAAGTTAATGCATTAAGGGATAAAGAATTATGCAAATTTGTTCAATCGAGAGATATCTTGTTGAGAATTTTCTTTTCAGGGAATAATCTTTTTGGAGAATTATTTTTTCGGAGAAACATCCTTTCAGGGAAATATATCATATAATATTTGTTGGTAAAAAGGTTTCGAAAAAAGTCTTGTCAGAGAAACAGGAGTTCGAAGAAAAGGTTTTGTCGGTGAAAAAGTCTGTTGAATAAATTTTTTTCGGAAGTTCAGGTTGTCGGGGAATTGGCTGTGTCGGGAAAAAAAAAAAAATAGGTAAAAATTTTTTCAGTGAAATATACTGACAGAAATATGTCTTGTCAGAAAAGGGATGTCAGTATTATGGGATCAGTGAAATAGTATTTCAGGAAGGTGGGTTTCGGGAAAGTAAGAATTAACGTCCAAAATGCCCTTGGTACTCTAAATGAAAATTAACCTTGGACAATTCAGATATTGAATGCCAAGAAACCCAAGAGCATGAATTACTTGAAGAGCTTTGGCTGTACGCACCAGTATAATGGTCAACTCAATACAGGATTCTGATGATGAAATAAAAAAAACCTTACATAAAATCTTTTTGATTTGGAGTGTTGATATTGCTCAAGCGTTAATAACATTGACAAAATCCAAGATTTTAGTTTTCATTTACTATTTGGCACTTCAATCATTGCAACGTACATGTAGGAACTATATTCGTTCAAGAGCGATTGAGCTTTTAATTGCTCTTGCTGCAAGACATTCAATGTTTTTATCAGAGTTTAAAGTAATTTGAATAGTTGCGGATCAAATGAACAAGAAAAGTTTTAAAAGCTTTTTAATATAATCATATATCGATCCCAATATGAATGACAACTATATTAAATATTGTTGCAAATGAACTAGTATGTCCAATTACTAACGATTAGGCGGCATCCATAATTTACGTTAAACTAGTACTGTATTGTATAGAAATCGATGATACCATCTGGTATTATTTTTGCATTATATTTAAGATTTCTATAACAATACCGTTTTAACGTAAATTATGGATGCCACCTTATTGTAAAAAGTTACCATGCAAACGCTACTTTAGTGAAGTTGGAATCAAAGGATGAACTAAAGAGTGTAAAGGCAAACCCAACTTTTTTCTTGCTGACCCATTTAAAACCTTTGAAAATCAAAAGCTTGGAATCTTCTTGCTGATATATATCTTAAAATAGGTGTTTCTGAATTGTCACTTCGTCATATTTCTCGGACAATTAACTTGTTCAAAAAAACCTTCAATCATTGTTAACTCGTAGCATAACATAACATGAGAATGAGCTACATGATTTAGATATGATATTGTCCTCTACTTTTCAATCAACAAATTCTTCTCGATTAAAGTCATTTATTATAATGTCTTATTTTAAAATTTTAGATATCTTCGACCAGAAAATGAGACTATCATAACTGATCCTTTGATGGGACACGGCTAGAGATGTGCGAATGCATGTTTTTTTGGCTTTGCATCACATAATGCAACATTATGTCGCATGATGCATTATGTAAGTCTGTATAATATACTGTGGACCTTTCAAAACCTATATGCAGCGTACAGACTTTGTATTACTACTGAGAGGTTATCGGATTCGAAAACATAAACTATTGTGGAAACAGACATTGGTAGATTAATTTTTTATTGGATTTCACAGGCTATTGATTTTGATAGGAACAAGTGTCTATAAAGTGATTATTAAAATGATATAGATCAAAATTACATAATAATTTCTATGTGCATTTTTAAATTTTAGGCAACCTGCATCGCATTATGCAGCATTATACATTGCCTGCGTAATGCATACGGCACATCTCTAGACACAGCGAATTATATTTAAATCAAAATAAGTATCCATTAGCTAAACGTGACTTGAATAAACTTTACAATGGGAAAATAATCCTTTGAAGGACTTGATTTACGTGGCTTGCTTTATATTAATACATTTAATCATCAGTTTGCCATATCTAAATATGATCATTTGTTGAAACTAAATTATAAAAATGAATATATGTTGAATATAAAAGCACGCGCGCATTCAAAAATGGGAAATCTCGAACAAGCATTTAATGATTCAAATAATTCTTTAAATCTTAACCCAGCAAGTGGATTCTCATACTATGTATGAAGCAGGTTCTTGTATGATATGTGCAGATATGAAAGTGCAATAAATTTTATAAAAGCAGCTTATATCATTCAAGGACCGAACACAGATTATATTTTTTAATATCTCAAGTTATATTTTTTATTTCAGTACACGGATGCAATCTATTACCTTTCTAACATTATCGAATATCATAATGAAATTACTGGAGGTTTTTTTCTAAATTGACTTTATTACACTTCGAGGATATCTCTAGAAGGCAAAGAAGAAAATGCATTTAATGACTTTCAGTCATCATTGAAAATTGACCCAGAAAATGTAAATCATTAGAATGCCGTGGTCATCTACATACCAGGCCTCAAACCTTTGAAAAAGCAATAAAAGATGCAATAGAGGTTTATAAAAAATATTATAAACAATTTTATGGTGTACATATCTGTATCATACATATTTGTATTTAAAATGAGCGATGAAAATGCTTTAAAAGATTGGATACATTTGATAGCTTGACCTTGAACTTGATATAATATCAGAAAGAAAAGATCTATCCAGAGTTCTAGCCTTTATCGAAAATAAAATCGGGAACTGTGAGAAGGCATTAGAGAATTTGGATAAGGCAATAAAATTTCTGCAGGATAGTATGACTATGGTTCTACTTGTTGAACGTGCATCTGTATATTTTTCAATCAGCCGACTCGAGGGTGCATTAATGGATTAAGGAAAGCACTAATAGTTGAACCAAAAAATGTCTACATGTCAAAGCCATGATTAAAGTAATTTGTCTTTGTGAACTTTTATCGTTCACATAGTCAAGATGCTTGTATGGAAAGGCTTAGTTGGCAACCCGGATCCACAAATATAGGGATGTTAAATAGTGCGTCTGGTCTGGTCCCGGTCCGTCCCATAAAAAGTCCGTCCAGGACTAGTTGAAAACTAGCTCACCCCCTTGTCAAAAACAAGTCCTATAGTAGTCCCGACCTAGCGGTTTAATATAGATTTTATAATACATTTTATTACAAACTTTACCATTATTGATCGAAAAGTCGGCATTTAACTAATTTTAACCTAATTCATCAATTAGAGTATCTGTCATTGATTTCCCAATTAGCGGACTTTATTTAAAGTACCACCACTCAGGGTGTATTGTTGTTGATTCAAATTTTATTTAATGTGTCAAAATAACATTTTATTCATATCATGTACTGTCCCTACTAGTCTCTAAAAAGTCCGGTCTGAACCCGGTCCGAACTAGTTCCCTGTGGACCATTTAACATCCCTACACAAATACCACAATCAACCTTGAAACGTCTTAAAGAGGAAATTTCGTTCCAATATGACATAGTTGACACATTTGATCATGAAAAAATATTTGAAAAGTTTCATGACAATTTGAAAAATTTTTATTAATGAATAAAAATATTGATTTGATGGACAATGAAGATAGTGAAGTACTTGACTTAACAGACAATAATGAGCCAAATATCATTAATTATGATCTGTTTTTCGAAGGGATTCATTCAATGAACGACTAACATTTTAAGATCCTATCTAATGAGGAAAATGCTAATCAATATTACAAGATCATAAAAAATGAAGAAAGTAGTTTTGATAGAGATTTTCGGAATACACCCAATAAATTTGATTTATTTTATGCTGCTCGACTAGAAAATGGATATCTTGACTGACAACTATTCGACAGAGCAATGGATTTATTTGGAAAAGGTGATTATTATCATTGTAAAGAAATTTACAACTCATAAAGGAAAGCTATCCACAAATTCTAGTAACTCGCAAGAGAACTTTGAATTATATTTAGCATTTCTTATTTTAATGTTTCTTCATTCAACATATTTCTGCATATTATTTCAGATCTTGTTTTTATACCGTATATTTATGAATGAAATTTGAATTAGCATAATTTTGGAGCTGAGTTGCTTCAGACTTAAATTTAATTTTGTATTCTGTTGACGTCAAATTAAAATTAAAACAAGCCTTACCCTAATACTGTAATATACGTATAATGCTGCATAGCTTTTATAAATTTTATCAAAAGAAACTCTAGCCAAAAATTTTGTAAACTAGTGGTTTAAGGTGATTTGTAGACAGTTCAAAATCTAAACCTTGTAGCCGGCGGCTATAGCCGTAGTCGATGCTAGTCGGCCAGACCGACTAAAATCGTAACCACTGCTAGATTTTTAAGTTAGGGTTAGGAAATGCATTACTAGTGCCTAAAGGCGGGTTTTGAATAATAATTAAATGAGTGTGACGAAGGTAGTGTGACTAATTTTGGTGTGACGAATAACACATATGATGGTCCTTATTCGTCACTCGAATATTTGTCACACCTAACATATGCGTGTCGATCTTTCTAATTCAGTCCGGGAATATACTATATTTGGATATTGCCGATCGCACCTTATTTAGTAATGATCATCTGTCAGGTTGTTCTGGATTTCTTTCCAGATCATTCCACGTACTGTAAAGATTGGCCAATAAAATGCTTATAATCTAGTAATCGTAGAACCGTGATTAAAATCTTCATAAGTACACTCTTTATAAGTGCACGCCCTCTTTGAATGCACGCCCAAGTTCTGGCCCGAAAATGTATATACCCTTTTATAAATGCACATTTTCTTATTAACTAAGTGCACGTTGTTAAAGCCTGGTCCCAAGAGTGTGCACTTATAGAGGTTTTACTGAACTTTGGTCGCAGATTTTTGGATCTCAGAGTGAATGCACACTATATTGTTATATAATTCAAAAATGCTATATAATTTTCTTTTTATGAGTGTGCACCTTAACTTTTTTTTTTAATTGTCTTGAGAGATTCACTTGAAGTCTGATCACATAAGGTATGCAGTTTGGATTACAAGATTAAAGCAGAAATATTATAAGCATATACGCTAAGGCTCATTATTCTATTAATTACTAATTTAATTTACTATTATTCCAATACTCCAGTATTCGATAAAATGTGTTTCAACAATGATGGGATAAAAAAGCAATTCTTTTTGAATTGGCGAGAATTAGTCTTGTGAGACTGTTTCGAGTGTGTTGTGATTATATTTTATATTTAATATACTGTACTATATAGTAGCGAAGACAAAATAAGACAAAAAGCATGTACAATAAATATTTAGTTTAGAAAAATAAATCAATTTTTTTTAAATAAAATTTTATTGTTAAATATTATACAAATTACAGAATTAAAATAAAAAGTATTGAATTAATAAATTACATAATTATGATATAATATTTTGATATAAAGAATGTAATATAAGTTCATTCTTGCTGAATCATCTCTGAATCTTCTGAAATATCTTCATTATCAACCTCATTATCTGAACTAAGCAAAGATTTAATTTCTTGCGGTATTTCGAATAATTTGGCTTTTTTTTTAGATTTTAACCCACGATATTTTTTTCGAATACTTTCACCAAGTCGTTCAAGAAGGGTTTCGATTTTCACTAAAATTTCAGATTTAGTTAAATTCTCTTCAGATTCTTGAGCTCTAGCTTCCTCTTTCGTGATCGGTATCAGCCTAAATAAAAAAGAATCACTTTTGTTAATAAATGTTTCAATAATAAATTTACGTTGTGCATCTTTTGCAAAATATGTAAAATTTTTCAAATCTTCATTCAATTCGCAATCTCTGCCTAGGCTTTGACATGGTTTCAAGTTTGTTGGATCTACAAACTCAAAATTTCACAAGAGCGTTCGAAATCTTTGACATTCCATGGTCGATTCTGACCAAGTTCTTGGTCCCGATAGTTGATAATTGTTATATCTGATTACTTGAAATAAGTTATTCCTAAACTAAAATATTGTTAGTAAAATTGTAATTATAATTAATTGCAGAATTGATTAAAAATAAATTATACCTCAAAAAAGTTTTTGCAATTACGAGCCGCGATTTTCCAATGATGATATTGTGGAATAGGAGGTATTAACGATTTTAAGGTCTTGTTCACCTCCTCTATAATTGCATCAAGACCTTGATGCTGTTCATAAATACCCGATCGAGAGACTATGCAATTTTTTTTAACAATATCACGTATTTCAGGATAAAGTTGCATTAATTGAACTTCATCAGCAACTTCAATTAGAGGTGACGTCTTGCAGACCAGATAGGAGAAAACGCTCTTCTCACAGCTCTTTTTAAAAATGGATTGTTAATTCTTACCGCTTTTCGATAATTAATTATCAACTGAAGGTAAATAAATGTCTTACAATATTATTATAAAAAAAAATTGTTATTATATTAATTTTCATTAAAACATATCGAATAATATTGTAATAAATAACATACCTGCTCATATTTTATCTGATAAAGAGGATCTTGCTGTTCTTTAACCCAGGCAAGATATTCTTCAATGGATGGTTCAGAATGATTTTTCACATATAGCTATAAAAGCTCCATCGCCATTGCTTGTCGATATATATTGCAAACTGAGTCTCAAGATTTATGATGATCAGCACATTTTTTAAAGTAGGTGAACTGATTTTCAGTCCGATAGCCCTGATTTATCGCAAATTGTTTTAGATCGATTTCCCTACACAAAATGAAAAAAATTTATAAGTAAAGGCAAATATAAAAACTATAATGGGTGATTCATAATTAACATATTTCGAAATAAGTGGGGTACAAAATGTTCTATTTCTGTTTTGAAGTTTTGAAATTAGAAAAAGAAATAGGAGTTATCTGGAGGTAAAATGTGCAACCTTTTTTTTGATGTTTTATTGTTATCATATGATATTATCGTAATAAATTAATAAAAGAACTACAGATTATCGTTAAAATTTTTTAAAATTTTTAAGTAATATTTTCTAATTATATCCCCCCCAAAAACTTTTAAAAAAACCACTAAAGAAGAGAACTTAATAGATTTTTAACGAATAGTAGAATATTGATCTAATTCAATTATTTCCAAATTTTTTTTAATATTGGACATTTTAAAATATATATAAAAAGATATGCCTTTTTTCTACCAAATTCATATCTCAATCAAATTTGTATAATTTGATCTATTATTAATATTCTATGATCTTGTGATCAAATCTTGATAATTTTAATTACATCATAAGATATCGATGATAAATCAAATTATATGAATTTGATAGAAAAAAGGCATATTAAGTCTTGAAAGAAGATTCACAATTATAAAAGTTATATTATAAATAAGCTTACAAATCAAAATAAATAAGATTTATAAACTGCTGATTTCGAAATAAATACATTGCTAATTTAATTCGAAATTAGAAACTTGATCCTTAATTCTGAATCACCCTAATAAAAACAATTTACCAATTTAATTCTACATATGCACGAAGTATATTCATTTCTTCGTGTAATTGCCCTAGTATAAGAACCAACCAGGGAAACTTTTCCTTCAACTTGATGGCATAACGGTATAGAACACCATCACAAGTCACTGCCACCTACTTACGAGTTCCATTCTTAATACCCGATATTACCTCTATGTGTAAAAGAATTTTCTCAACATTTGCAACTGAATTAGGATTAATGTTAACTGGGTCAGGAATATAAATCTCGGGAACATTAACTCCCGGATCTACAACTTGTTGAGTTAAACTGATCTTAGAAGTACGTGTTGTAATTTGTTTGTCATTGACTCTGTAATGTTTAAAAGTAAGTTGATTAGTTAAATTATCAATCGTATTACTTTCAATTTCACCTAATTTTTCTTTTTGAATTTCTGTTAACGTTGGCAGTTGTGTCCCACATCTTGAACATAACCTTTTCCGATTCTCGATTTCTTGCAGATTGCACCCGGGACATGATTTCATTTTGGAAGCATTAGTTGGCATAGATGCTACAAGAGAATCAATAGTATTAATAGAAGATAATTTTTCTTCAGACAACAATGCAAGAACCTTGGCAAGATAGGTATATAGTTCTTCATCAATGACTTTCTGCATTTCGGGGCTGATATCAAAAATTTCTTCATATTGCGACCTGTTAAAAGAAGGATACAACCAGGGTAAATTAGTGTGTTGAGTTTTGTTTTGTGATGCCATATTAAAAGCAATAAAACTAGTAACAATATGAAAAATAACAGTATTAAACCCTCGATCAAGATAATTCTTTTGACCTCTTTGTTCATTATCATATGCAAGAAATAGAAGACCTTCAGGCAATGGTTCCTCGTGCCTTGATAATTCTTCCAGCCACTTTTGGAATCAATGATAGCTCCTCGAGCTTGTGATATGGTTATCAATATCGATAACAAACTTTGACCATGCGATTGAGTATTTTATTGCTAAGGCAGCAAGTTGAATTTCTGACACGTATTTTCCGTGCCGAGCCCATATATAGAATCAACCGCAACAACTATCTTAAAAAGTTTTTCTTGACTTGAAATATCAGTAGCTTGATTATTTTGAACTAAAGTTTCAATGAATTTAACAACAACCTGGTTACGGCTAGTAAGTCATTCACGCGAACTATATTTCATAAGACTTTCTAAAGATAACCTATTGTTGTTATGAATTAATAAATCTATAAAAAAAATATTAATAAAAGAATGAATACTAAAATATAAGCAAATATACAGAATTAGTAATGTGGTAATGGACTTACTGACATCGTCAAATAATGCCTTATGCTCTGCATTCGCTATCTCAATAATCGTATTGATACGTTTTTGCTGAGTGGAAAATCTCG